TATATTTATATTTATATGATGCACAAAATTTCACGATTCTTTTGAATACGATTAAGGATAATGAAGAACTCAGGAATTTGTGTATTTGGTGGATTAAAAAAAATATGCACAGCAAATAAGTTATAAGCTGAAGGTTCCGCCATATCTTGGAGATTTATTTAGCAACAAGCTAGGCTCAGGCCAATTACACTTAAATTAATTAGTGATATTTAAGGGGATGCTGTGTTCCTCTGATGCTGTTGTCGACCTCCGTTTATCTTTGGTCAAGAAGAATTACTTTACTTGACTTTTATGGATGGCATTACGGCAGCTTTGAAGCCTCCCAGGCTTCTTTAAAATCCTATATTATTAGAAATGCTTTTTTGTAACGCTACTGAATTAACTTACAGTTTGCCATGTTCGCGCTTTCCCTAAAAGAGTCCAGGTTTGTCTCACATCCCCTTTCTGAGTGGCCTTCGTTTTTTGTCTTGTATTATTTGTTGGCCGTTGTTACCACATCATTCTCTTTTCGTGAGTGCTTTTATTCATATATCTTTTTTTCAACTTTAAGGCATTTCCTCTCGAGCACCGCTACTCAACTCACCGGGAGCCTATGGCTTATAGTCTTGGACACCTTGGAACAAATGTTCACTTCCATGCTTTATCCCCTCGTCTGCCTGATAACTGTGTTTCCCGAGACGGTTGACACCGGCAGTTCAGACCTATCCGTTCGCCTCTGCCCCATCCGTCATGCTGACAACATCCGCCTCCGCCAAATCGCCTCTAGCCTTCTGCAAGAACCGGTTCCCGACTTCCTTCAGTCCGTAGGTCTAAGTCAATCGCCTGGTTACTCGACGCATTCAGACCTTGGCACCTCACTGGCGACGCCAGACGCGACCCCTTCCGCACCGCCCAGCCAGGTTCCCAAGACCTTAGATGGACCGGCCTCTCTTCCGTCCTACTCGGAGCCCGCGACCTCGAGCGCCTTGGGCGGGCCGGTCAAGCGGCTCATCTGCCCGGGTCTGCCTGGAAGGCGGAGCACACCTAGCCACACAACCGCACTTGGGCATGAGGATGGGCGAGGCAGAAGCGGCTTGGCATCCACGACAGCTGGCCCTCAGACTGACCGTACAGAGCCGGCAGTCGGCCTCGGGATTACGCTTCGCCGAGCCTCTATCCCGGAACAGACGACTCATCTTCTCCGCCAACTGGGGCTGCCGCCTCGCGGAGCCCATTTGGCCAGAGGCAGAGGCTTACCTCAACTACAGCAAAATCTTGTCCCATCCTGCCGTATAGAACCGCAGCTTTCGACCAAGACATCTACTATCATGACGACCGAGCTGTCACCTACTGTGGACTCTTCTGATTGTTCTCCTTCGGAGTATTTGGAGCAGTTCGGGTCGGATCTCGTGGTCTCCATTTTCTCCGGTCAACAATCTGGTTCTCACTTGCTAGAAAGGTAGGCTTGACTACAAAACGCCGTAGAGATTGCATTATGTTTTGGAATTGGTAACAATTTTTCACGGTATTGTTGTCAAGCCGTATCAATTTTTACTAAAAGTTTATTGCATTGATTGCATATTTGTTCATGAGGAGGTGAAGAAGTGCTTGATTTTTTTGTTTTACCTCAAAGGACCGTTTTTATCAAGTTTCATACTCAAAGCTCGGAAGTTTTTTAACCCCTTCGGCATGATTCTGACTGCTCACTCATAAATGATGCCATTTAAAAGGGCTTTGCTTTTCCTTCAAAATACTACTTGATATGTGGCGTGTTTGGCCCATGATCCACACTGGAAAAGCTGATGAGACGCTGAGGCAAGGTCGTATTTTCCTCTTTAGTCCAGAGAATATTTTGGCAGGCATAGCCAATGGAAGTATACTGACTTATTCCTATCCCTGTGGCAAACCGATAGGAACTCTTTGTCGAATGGGACGACAAGTCTCTCCAACATAAAAGTGACCAGATGAACGCATTATATTATACCAACCCGAACTGAATAATTGATCAACTTTCTATCTAAAAGTAGGCATAACTGAAGAAAATGTCGTAGTTTCTCTGAGAACGGTTTTTATTCTTACTTCCTTATTTGTTCATTTAATGTTTTAGAGAAAGTGCACGAAGGTAAAGAGAAAACATAAGAAAAGGTCTCCTTAGATCTTACGAATTCACAACTCAAAAGACTATTCTTTATTAATATACTGTTATTTTCAATCAAGCCCAGTGGATAATTGTTCTCAGAAATATTATGCTAAGCCGATCCAGTTCATTTTCACAATGGTCTCTATCGGCTAGTCTTATGCTCCGAATAATCATAGATTTTAAAACTCTAAACTTTATTTTGTAACTATGATTGGAGGAGTTAATTATAAAGCCAAGATGTGTTGGCTTTCTATACACATCCCTGCTTAACTTCTCACCTGCTCTGATCACTAAGACATGTAAAAAGGGTAAATTATTGTTGATCTCCATCTACATTGTCAACTTAATATTGCAGTCAATTTTGTTAATTTATAACAAGAGATTACCTAGACTATCCTTGCCATGCTGCCATATGGCAAAGTAGTTATCCATATATTTAACTAACAGTTTGGGTGTCAATCTAACCTCTTCCGTGAAGTGTTCCC